ATATTTTGGTGGATTAGCATTGAAAATTAGGTATTAATTTTATATTTAATTTTGGAAAATGCTGAAAAAAGAGGGAACCGTGTTTACTTATTGTGATGAGTGAGAATGAGGTGGGGAAAACTTCCTCGCTAGGGATTCGAGCAGGCAAGGGGTCATTGGGGGTGGGAATGGGTAGAGGAAGTGTATTTCCCACCTCAAATTCACCCCATTACTGTTTCTACTAGCTAACCTAAAAAACTCGTGAGGGTCTTTATGCCTGACAGGGCATGATTGGAAATTCATTAAAAATAGCATCCTTAGTTAACCACTAACCAATTCACTGAAGAACAGTGTTGCTAGGTTTGAAGAAGCCACAGCAGCTTTCCTTGTCCTCAAAGATGCCATGCCCAGTACACCAATGCTTGCCTTAACAGATTTCTCCAGGTCTATTGTTATTGATACCGATTGTAGCAGTATAGCAAAGGGAGCTCGTAACACAAAATGAGAGGTTACTTGCTTCCTTAGTTTCTGTACCAAAGATTTCAGCTCAATAACCAGTCGTTATCTGTTTATTTAAAAGAACTGTTAGCTGTTCCGCAAGCAATGGCAAATTGTGAGACTGTCTGGAACACTTTGATTTGAACAGAAGCATCAGACATTTATTAGAATCGTTCGTACACATCCAACAAAAAAGCATTCTTAAATTACTTAAGTTGGATTACTCGATCCAATACAAGGAGACAAAGAACATAGTGGCAAATAAATTACCCCAAGTTTTGATGCCAAGTCTCATTATCAATTCCAGTCAGGAATACTTAAGAGAAAGGCCTATATATGGGAAAGTGTGGAATAAAATGGTGCAAGAGATGCATGATTCCACAATTTGTTGGACATTCAAGAATTAGGGTAGTTACCACCGTGCCAAACAACATTATTTTGGCTAGGGATACAGAACATTATTGATTTGATGTTGCAATGTTATACGTGTCAAAAGTGCAAAACTAAAAATTCCTACCAGTACATTCTTGTGCATGGAAACTTCCATGGATTTTATTGAAAAGCTTCTAAGACCATAAGAAAAGAGTCATAGTGGATAGCATCACAAGGATGCTTACTTTATTGTACTGGCTTGCCCCTACACAGCTTCCAATGTAGCTTAACTATTCTTAGATCAGAGAAAAAGCCACCAGGTCCTTCCAAGGGTACTATATCTCATCATGACAAGGTAGTCACTAACCTCTTCTGGCAAGAATTATGTAAAGTTTTGGGAACTGAATTACATATTAGCACTTCTTACCATCTATAACACAAAAACAAGCGGAAAAGTGCTTAGGATCCTATTTATCCTACATGAACAAAAGCCCCACAAATTATTTTCCTAGTTGGAGTATGGCTGAATGGTGGGATGACTCCACCTCTCACTCAGCATCAAGATGGCAACCTCTCATGCCATGTATGGATTTTCCCAGCCCCATTTCTCTCCTTTGCTAGACAGGACACTTTCCCCTTATAGGAATAGGAAGTTCTCGCAGAGAGAACAAATGATACAGCTCCTCAAGGATACCATGTCTATAGCTCAAAATAGGATTAAGCAATATGCTACCTCTCATCAGACTAACTTGGTGTTCATTATGTGGGTGATATGATTTTCTGGTTTTCTTGAAACTCCAACCTTACAAGCAGAGTTCCTTAGAAGTCCAGAAATGTCTTAAGCTGGCATCAAAATATTAGGAACCTTTTGAAGTATTGGAAAAGTTGGAACAGGATTGAAGTTTTCAGCAGATGCCTAACCTCATCATTCCTTCCATGTATCATTACCAAGAAGCAAGGAGGACCAACCTGAGTTATGAGTCCACTTGCCAATGATGGGGCCACCAAGGCAGCTCAAGTTAACCCCTCCAGCATTACTTTAGGAAAGAGAGATCAAGAAGGAAATAGTGAGAAAACTTTGATCCAGAAAAAGCCAGTTGGAAGACAAAACATTCACTCAAGTTCCTTTGCTTGACCTCATCTTCCTTGGGGAGGATATGCTTCAAGAGGTGGGAATGTTAGGCCTGGAGAAGCGAACATGGAGCCCACTACCAGCTCAAATGATAGGTGAACTGGATAATGAGTTAGAAACTGATATTTCTGTGAAGAGACACCAACGATTTTCTAGAACTGTTGGTTTCCGGATGATGTTATCTTGGCTCGTTCTTTTCCATTGTAACTTCAATTCTCTAAGAATATTCCTTCTGTAAATAAGTCGATGCATGTACAGCTGGCAAGAGGATATATAGTCACTTGTAATGGTTTAGCTAGAAACAATGAAGAATTCCATAAATTCTCTCCAAGACATTTTTCCTAAGCTTTCTCCGCTCTTTTTCCTATGTTCTTTTTCTTTCAATCTATGCTTTTCCCTTCTTCTTTTCACCTTCACTCCTCAGTTATCCATGATGATAGGCCCAACACCATTCTGCAAATTTATCACTATCCTTGAATACAAGGAATTAGATACCCAACTAAAATCAATAAATTAATGAGAAAAGAAAAATCTATATCCAGATGAAGACAATATGCATGATTAAGTTCAACGAGATGTGATTTCCCGCAATATTCAACATATTTTTTCTCGAAGAGCTACATTGAACATCTCAAATAGGGACCAAAACTTACGATTTGCCAGAACCGCTGACACCCATAATTACTACAGCTTTGCCTGTGAAGAGAAACAGAAAAGGGAGCAGGAAATTAGAAATTATAAAATCAAGGACATCATCACTAGGAGATATTGCATAACGTACAGAAGATTCAACATGCCAATTACTGAACAATTTATTAAAATAAAGACAGACAATATAAATATCACAAAATTTCCTACTCTTCTATGATGTCTGAAGGCTGAGGAACCTGTACAAGGACCAAAACAAAAGAAAAATGACTCTTTTTTTAAGTATCAATATATTCATTATGAACAAATAAAATAGAATGAAGCAATTCCATTCAATATCTAAAAAGACTGATCCATCATATCCTTCTATTGGGTGGGAAACTTATGGTTTAATTTGTGTGAATTCAATAACTTCAAGTTTGGTGAAATAATCTCCCATTGATAACTTATAGTTCTCATTAAGCTAGGAAAATGTTATTTAAAAGACATGCTTCAACTCTTGCAATAACAGATAATATGGAAAGCTACCCAACTAATCTTCATATCTAAATTGTTGCTGTATGCAAAAGAACTAGATGTCTATTATGATTAACAAGACCGACCTATTACTTCAACATTTATGGTTAGAGCAAGAGCATGTAAATTGGAAGATGGAGTTTTAGTGTTAAAGAACACAAAATTTAAGGACTAACCATAGAAACAAACGAAAAGTAAAAAGTAGGATTAGCAAGCAAATTGAACTTTAATATGACAATCAACCTACTCTGGAGCTAAGAATAAATCACAGTATCAGTTACCTTTGAGATTAGAAGGCATGACTGGTCCAATAATTGGATATAAACTGAATAAGACGCCAACTCTTGCAATGTGAAAAATGGAAATAACTGCTCCCTTTTGCACCAAAAGTAATGAAGTTATTATAGAGCATTCCTGTTCAAGATGAACTAGCGAATCTTCAGAAGGTACTTATGCAACCTGGAAAACAACAACCATGGACAAATTGAATTGAAGATAACAATCCTTTTCCAACGTTTTAACAAATGTTGAACAACTTAAATGAGGTTTAGCAAGAAATAGGAAATGTTAACATAAACTAGAATGTATGGATGTAAAAGAGCTGTGTTCGTGTTTGCAAATGTACACAGGACAATTATCTATCAAGTAAAAAACAAAAAATATACACACACATATATATATAGTATTATCAAAGGCGCGATAGATATAATACATAAAATCCACCAAAACAATGAGAAGAACTACACAAACGCATTGATTAATTTAGGGTTATTGCCTAACTTGGGGATTCAACAATATCGACTCGTCTAATTTTAGAGGAAAATGATGCAGATTCATATGCAGGAGCTGAAATTAGATATAAATAGTTTACAAATTTGCTAAAATCCTTCAAAAATTTGAAGAGAATAATCAAAACATAATCCATGAATACCCAAAAATTAACAAAAACATCCCATCTTCTTCTTATCCATAGGCAAAACTCTCTGCTACTTGCAGCTGTTTTCCAATTTAAGACGGCGAATACCTTAGAATATATTATGTGGGTAATTGAGAAAGCTGCTGTGGGTGTGTGAATCTTAAAAATGAGTTAAAATAATTATTTTTAATTAAAAATTATTTAGTGTTAAATAAAAATCTTAAAAATTTTAAATATAAAAATTATATATTATAATTAAAAAATAAATTTTCACATTATTATTATTAAAAATATAAAAATATTTTTAAAAGGCAAAAATTTAACTAAAGATTTATAAACCTTAGTTGGCTTTTCAGGACACTAAACTTTTTGGTTGGTCAAAGTCAAACTATTGGATTTCAAACAGAGCCTGAGTAAGAGTGGTTGACGTGTTCATATCTGATTGAGAGCTACGTCACCAATTTTTATTCATTTAACTTTTATTCACAATTTTTTCCCCTTTAAAGTAAAAGGTTTTTGTATGAGGGAAAATTTTAGTGTTTTTCTTTTTCAAATTCCAAATGATATTTCTCAAATCTACTCTTATAATTATTAAATTCAAATGTGAAATTTTTTTTCTTTTATCATAATTTTCTTAATTAAATAAACGTGTATATTTATACTGTACTAAAAAAATCTTCATAAATTTTATGAAAAGAACTGAGATTGTAATAGAGAGATTATAATAATGAAAATGTTATAATTGAATCATTTAAATATTCTAAATTGTAAAATAAGAGGCATATTTATGGTTTAATTTAAATTAGTATACATTATATTTATTATTAAAATGTAATTAATTTTATTAATTACTTCCACGATTACAACAAGTATAAGTTTTGTACTTAGTGAACGAGTTTGTTGAACTTACTTCTTTATCAAGTACTAAATAGCCATCAAGGTCGTTGGGTACATTAGTTACTAACTTTGATGTATCACTAGAGTATTAAAATACTCAGAACACTCATTGAGCCAGTAAAGCTCATTAGATTTCATTATAATATTTTTATAAGTAAAGTGAATTTGAAGCATGTGTCAGGCGAGTACAGGACATTTGAGGGTGCCCTGATCAATATATATTCTGTTTTATTTTGGTATCATGATATGATCCCAAAAATCTAAAGAAAGCATTTCCCAAATAGTCATGAGAAGTATGTATGCGGACTAGGTGATCCCTGCACCAGTGAGATCACCTGTAAGGGGTACACAGGGGAAGTTGTCTACATGCACGAGAACAGCATAAGAGGCCATTCGTGAGCGCACATATTGGGCATGCGAGCACCTTGTGGCACGCAAGAGAGAAATCTCGTGCCCTCAGGAATTCTCAATCCCACGAGGACACATATTCGACTTTCCCTTTGGATTTCCGCAAGCTTGAAACCAAAGAGGAAAGTCCAAGCCAGCTAGTTCAGTTTTTAATTTATCTCAAGCTTAGGGACAGGCTAAGATCACTCAAGATGGACTTGGAGAGTTAGGAAAAAAGATTCAAGTGCCTTTAGGTCCAATCACTAGGTCAATGACCAAAAAGTTTCAATAAGCCTTCAATCTCTTAGTTCAAGAATGGATCAACAAAGAATTTAGTTTGGAGGCCCAAGATCAATCAAGAAAAGGCTAAAGGAATGAAGAAAATAATTTACCATGCATCCTTTAGGCCTTAGGCCTTAGGCCCACATGGCCAAGAGAAAGGAGGAGAATCCAAACCTGTGTACGCGGTTTCTTTCTCCTTTTAGGAGATCTGAATCCTTTTCCCTTTTGGATAACTTAATCTTTTCTTTATTTCTTTTTCAAATTTAAGAGCCACCCAAGGATCTATATGGAGAAGAATAGTGACTTCTAGAAGCGAACAATCATAGCAAGATAGAAGGGAAAAGGAGTTAAACTAAGAATTGGCCAAAAAATCATTTTTTTTAGCTGAATTCTTACTACTTTTTCTACTACAAAGCCATGGTCAATGACTTCTCCTACATAAAGACTTCTTAAAGAAATTAATAAAGAAATAGAAAGACAATTTAAGTTGCATTGGGAAAGTCAAGTACAAGTGAAGCTCCCATCCGGCCAAAGAGATAGGATAATATATTTTAATTATTTTTTTATATTTTAGTATTTTTTTAAAGTTTCCTAGTCTAAGTTAGAGTAAGAGTTATATTAGAATTAAGTA